TGTATGTGGATATGTAAGCGTGTATGTGTGTATGGCCAACAAACTCACCCCATCTTTATTTTCTAAACCATCTCTAAACAGGAAATGAAAAAAAAAACACATACAAATGATCAATGATTTAATGAAGGATGACATTATCCATGTATCTTTAAAAAAAAATACAAGTTTATGAACATGACATGTATATATACACAACACTGCTTCTCAGCTAACAACCCATCCAAACAAGGGAATCACCTCAATCGATTATGGAACTAACGATCAATTCGGCTTGTCCCACTGAATCGTTACACTAAGAAGAAAAAGAAAAGAAATAAAACACATATTCTTTCATTATAATCTTCATATACTTACTGGGATATACCTGATATCATATGGCCTATTGAAACGAACACATCTGCAACTTAAACGAACACATCTGCATTATTTGTGAGCATGGAATCTATATGAATAACGCACAGGGTGTCACATAACAAGGAGAAATCCTATGTACAAAATTAAAGTAAATGCCTCAAGAACAGTCTGTGTGAAGGTTCTATAATCATATGACTTGTTTGTGGATTAATTTACATTCCAGAACATTCCCGAGTTCGAATAACCTTTGGCATCATGTTACATGTGGTTTTATAAATGTTATAATAGCCCATTGTTACTTATATATCTAATTCTGTCTATTTTTGGGCTATTAGTCTATTTTTGTCTTTTTTCTATATCTAATTCTGTCTATTTTTTTCTTTTTTTTCTATATCTTCTATCTTTGTTTATTTTTCTCAGATTTGGATCTATCTTTGTCGTATTTGTCAAGTTTTGTTTCTATCTTACGTCCTTTTTTATCATAAATGTCTAGTTTTGTCATGTCTTTTATCGCAGGTGTCTAGTTTAGTCTTTTTTATCATATATGTCTAGTTTTGTCTCTTTTGTCCTCTTTGTCGGGATTTGTCTTTGTTTTTATCTATGTGTTGTCATGTCTCTTTACCTTTTTCCTCTCTTTATCCACGAATTTCTCTCCTTTTCTTTTTCTCAAGGCTCAAGATTTTTTTCTTTTCCTGTTCGTTATCTCATTAGTCTTTCATCTTTATATAATTCTTGGGAGTTTCCTTACTTCTTCTTTATCATCATCTTCCTCTCTCGGCACTTTTCCATCCTTTTTGCACTCCTTTATCCCACTTCCAATTTTCCACTTCTGTCTGTCTTCCTATACGCCATTTTCCATCGCATTCCTTCGTTTCATTTGGCGGTCTCTAATATCTCGCTTGTAACTGTTCTTGTTAATGATCTGCTCATTTCACAAAATAAATTAACGATAGACCAGATCTCACTCGATACTAAACTAAGATATCCATACACTTACAAATTTACATATATTAATATAATATACATATAGTAACACGTAGAAATACACGCTCGAACGCACGTATGTACACACGTACGCACACACACACACAGACACACACACAGACACACACACACACACACACACACACACACACACAACACACACACACACACACACACACACACACACACACACACACACACACACACACACACATATACATACAAATAATATATATATATGACCATATCTATATCTCTCTATATAGATATACAAACAGATAGACGTAGATACAGGCGGACAGATTGACACCTACATATGTATTTACCATCACAAAGAGTATATATATATTGCACCTGATGTGATGGGTTTACTGTGTGATATAGAAACTATTTTTTTTTTTACTGAAGGGCAACGATACGTAAAAGTCTTGAGAAAGCAACGTCTTAAATCTACTGACAACATCTTATCACTACATACTGCTTCCTGCGCGGGTCTTGTTGACACCACTAACGGACATCATTCACTGACATCATCCACGGACCAATGACGGACATCATCTGCAGACACCACTTACGGACAAGAAAAAAAAATTCCTCTATGGACGTCGTTTACAAAAATCATTTACGGACACCATCGGTCGAAGTCACGAGGCGCGGGGGGGGGGGAGGGGGGGGGACGTCAGCGAGTCGGGGCGAGCCGGGAAACCCCCTTCGACGGGACGTGACGTCACGGGATGGGCGCGCTGTCCTCACTCCCTCGGAAGGCACTGCTGCTCTCTTCCAGCCGACGTCCCTACTACCGAAGAAAGAAACCTTGGGGTCCCTCTTGTTTCGAACCGACGACCCCCGAGTGCTCTCCTCGGTGGGGCCGCGGAACCTCCCGTCAGGTGATGATGATGATGATGACGATGATGAGTACCCGCTCAGCAGCCATGCTTAATACTGATTTGTCTCGGTCGAAGGGGGGCGGAGGGGGGGTCCTCAGGTCTTGGCCGGCATCCCCCTGGGGGCCGTCGCGGGGCTCTTCATCTTGCCCTCCAGGAAGGCGATCTTGGCGCTGATGGACGCCGTGCTCCGCCCCTCGTCCGCGTCGGGCGTGAGTTCGAGCACGCTGGTGTCGGGCGTGGCGCAGCTGTCGATGGAGCTCCTGCTGTCGGAGTGGAGCAGCGCCATCTTGAGGGGGGGGAGGCCGCGCCCCTTGCTTAGCACGCCGGGCTTCGCGGCCTTCGGGAGGGCGGGCTTGGGCGGCGGCGTCTTCGTGGGCGTCGGGGCGTCTGAGGAGGCGGCCTTCTGGGGCTTGGGCGCCACGGGGGGCGTCGGCTTCTGGACGGCGCTTCGATCCTTGGTGTTGGTGGGCGGGGAGCCCGCGGGCGCCGCCGGCCTGGCCACGGCGGGGCGGCGCCGGCCGGGCGATCACCGTGGGAGACACCGGGGCGTCCGTCTCCTCCGGCCCGCCCACCGCCACCACCGCCGGCGACACCGTCACGGCCGCCTCCCTCTTCGGCTTCTTGGCCGGGGGCGGCGGGGGCGCGATCTTGGGCGGCTCGATCCGGGCGGCCTTCGCGACCGGCGACTGCGGCGTCGGCTGCGGCGTCGGCTGCGAGGGCTGGTGGAGGTTCGAGTAGATGATCTCCGACACGGGCTCCGGGCTGAGGGCGCCCGTCCTGGGCGGGAGGACGCCCTGCAGGATGTCCGGCTTGGGGTGCGGCAGCGGCATGGGCGGCCGCAGGGTGACCACGTCCACGTCGCCCCTGAAGGCGTCGTTGTCCGCCTGGGCCGCGGACGACGCCGAGGAGCGGTCGCTGGCGGGCGGCGACGTCGGCTGCCGCACCAGCGGCGGCGCCTGCGGCTGAAGGCGCGGCGGCAGCGGCAGCTTCTCCTCCGCCTTCTTCTTGGCGCGCACCGACGACACCAGCTTCTGCAGGTCGGTCGTGTTCACGTAGGTGTTGCTCGTCTCGTCCAGGTGCGTGAGGTGGGCCACGTCCTCCACGCGCAGCCGGTACTCGGAGTCGCCGCGCGCCACCTTCGCCTGCGGGAGGAAGGCCGGTCAGGGCTGGCTCGGTTGGGAGAGGGGGCAGGTGTGTGTGTGTGTGTGTGTGTGTGTGTGTGTGTGTGTGTGTGTGTGTGTGTGTGTGTGTGTGTGTGTGTGTGTGTGTGTGTGTGTGTGTGTGTGTGTGTGTGTGTGTGTGCGCGCGCGCGTGCGTGCGCGTGTGCATGTGTGTGCGTGTGATATAAATCGAAAGACAGACAGAAAGATAAACAGATAGATACAAATCGCCATCATATTTTGAATAATACAAACGTAAAGTCATTATCCCAAAAAACAACACATAACTTCAATTTTCTTCATACCAGTCATATCTTCATCAATGTTTTTTGTTTCTTTACATCAAACACACTTACTGCCCACACTTACTTTCCTTTTGTTTAATATATCAATATCCTAACAAACAACATATACAACAACGCTATGTCTAAAATAACCTCAATCACATCAAATCATATCTAAAAATAAACATTATGCACTTTTATGTCATATTCGAATCATCATTTGGCTTCTCCGATTCTCTATAAGCGGTTCAGATCCCATTACCTATATGCGGTTTCGATTATATCACTTATAGGCAGTTCTGATCTTATTCCATATAAACGGTTTCGAATAAGCCTATATTACTGATAAGAGGTTCCGATCCTATTCCTTATATGCAGTGTCAACTATACTATATTATAAGCGGTTTCGAATGTGTCACTTATAAGCGGTCCAACACTTTTTATAGGTCAACGCGCATACCAGCTTCGGCTAGGCCTATATAAGAGGTTCTGATCCTATTGCTTATATATGGTGTCGACGGCTCCAATTCTGTTCTTTATAAACGGTTTCGACTATACTCCTTATAAGCGGTTCCAATCCTCTTCACGTGACGAATCTAACACTAGGCATTTCTGATCTTATTCTATATATGTGATTTCGACTTATATTATTGATAAGTAGTTCCGATCTTAATCCTTATATGCGGTATCGACTATGCTATATCATAAACGGTCCCGATCTTTAAAAATCGGTTTCGAATATATTACCGGTTCGAACCTCTTCCAGCGTGCGACTCCACGTGACTGAATCCGCCACTTTTTGCAGATCAACGCACTTGTCAGCTGTACATGTTACTGGTTTTATAATACAGAGCAAGTTATTTCTTTAATATGATTGCATAAAATCGAATAGAATATTGTGTCCTGTTTTTTTTTCTTTTCTTTTCTTTTTTATATTAATGGGCCTGCTATGAATCTCGAAAAATCAGCGCGGACCAGTTTTAAACACCCAAGTTAGGGACCCTTGTTATAAACGTTTGTTTATAAGGAAACGTAATTATCATCAAACTACATTAAAAGTTATGTGCAAAGCATATTAAACGTTACTTATACAATAGATATTAAACTATATGTACACAAACGTTTAAATAGATGTAAAATACAGACGCAAATTCTAATAGATTTTCGAGAAAAAAAAATAAAAGCAAAAACAACTTTTACGGAAACCATTATCGTGTGTGCGAGCGATAACGCTGCCATAACAAAAACAAAATTAAACGAACAATCTTACAGTGTTTTTCGAAGCATCGCGTGGTTATTCTCCAAGGAGAGTAATGCATTTCAAATATCTTTTTTTCTTCATTTTGTATTTTGTATTCACGCTCTTTCACCTATGCAAGCTGCGAGTGTCCAAATGTTTTTTTTTTTTTCTTTTCTTTTTTCTTTTTTCTTTTTTTCTTTTTTTAATCTTGGCTGATTACGAAACCGTTTTTTTTTATTATGGTCATTTCATACCATGCAGAAATTTACAGAAACTGTAGCTACTATTCATGTTATGTGCTACCATGAATGTCATAGCAAACTACCATCGTCACCTCTATTCTTATCTCCGCCGTCATCCACGTCTTTTATCGCTGTCTTTGTTTAGTAGACATGTTTTATCTTTTTTTCTGTAAAATATTTCCCTCGCAGTCGATCTTCAAAAGGCAGAAAAAACCGACATATACTTTCTTTTCGATCAGCTACACATCATGTAAAAGATTTCCCTTAAAAGAAACGAAAAGAAATTATTTCATGATGATAAATACATTTTTTTTCTCGATCAGCTACACAAACTGTCGAAGATTCCCCTTAAAAGAGACAAAAAAAAAAAAAAAAAAAAAAACGATATTATGATCTCTACGTTTTTTTCTCTTTTTTTAATCAATTACTCATCCTTTTTTTAAATCACAATTACTCATCCTTCCATCAACAGCGTCGTATGATAAACAGAAATTATCGTACGTTCCTATACATGGGTCATTATTGCCGCATGTCGTCCTGTGAGACAAATATTATCGTACCATGCCACACGAGAGTCAATCATGCCGAACGTATTATGTTATGTCGTCCCTCCTCATATGAAGGACTTCCGAGCCTCATAATATAAGAGGCCATTATGAGCGTTCCTCATCGCCGTGCCGCAATTACTCTTTACCTAATCGTTTGAGAGACATGATACTGCCGTACTTCAGCTGCCGTACCTCAGCAATCACTGCCATAACCCAATTTTAATGAGACATAATCAATGCCGTACTCAAAATGCCGTGTTGTAGATGGGACATTAAACCAACATTTAGATAGAGAGAGAAGACACACAACACACACACACACACACCACACACACACACACACACACACATACACATATATATATATATATATATATATATATATATATATATATATATATATACATATATATGTTATATGAATACACACACACACACACACACACACACACACACACACACACACACACACACACATATATATATATATATATATATATATATATTATATAATATATATATATATATATACATATATATGTGTATATGAATACACACACACACACACACACTATATATAATATATTATATATATATATATATATATATATATATAAGATGAGAGAGAGAGAGAGAGAGAGAGAGAGAGAGAGAGAGAGAGAGAGAGAGAGAGAGAGAGAGAGAGAGAGAGAGAGAGAGAGAGAGACAGAGATAGAAACAGAGAGAGACAGAGAGAAACTGAATAAAAATAAAATTACTTTCCAGTTTAGCTTGAATCGTAAGGTTGCAATTTTTGTGCAATTTCGCATTCCCTTTGAGTGCTATTGCAACATGAAAATTTCTAAAAAAAAAAAAAAAAAAAAAAAAAAAAAAACAAAAAAGTTTTTTCTTTTTCTTTCTTTTTCTTTGTGTTTAGTCATTGTACTTTTAATTTCATTTTGTTTTTATTTTGTATTTTCTTTCATTCTTTTCTTTTTTCCTCTCTCTCTCTCTCTCTCTCTCTCTCTCTCTCTCTCTCTCTCTCTCTCTCTCCTCTCTCTCTCTCTCTCTCTCTCTCTCTCTCTCTCTCTCTCTCTCTCTCTCTCTCTCTCTCTCTCTCTCTCTCTCTCTCTCTCTCTCTCTCTCTCTCTCTCTCTCTCTCTCTCTCTCTCTCTCTCTCTCTCTCTCTCTCTCTATCTCTTCTCTCTCTCTCTCTGTCTCTCTCTCTCTCTCTCTCTCTGCCATCCTCTCTCTCTCTCTCTCTCTCTCTCTCTCTCTCTCTCTCTCTGTCTCGTTCTCCTTCTCATATTCATATTCCTTTTCATTTTACTTCCCTCCTATTTCGTTAAATTCCCCATTTCTTCTCCTCCCAATTCACCTTTTTTATCTTTTCTTCCCTCTTGTATTTTCCCAGTTCCCATTTTCATTCATTATTGCCTTCTTCCCTCTTTATCTATTTTTTCCAATTTCCTTCAGTTTTTTTCTCTGTTTCCTTCATACCTTCCCAATTTATTTCCTTCCTATTTTCCCATTTGCTTTCCCTGGTTCTCATTTCCCTATTTATCCCAATTTTCTTCCTATCTACTCGTCTTCCTCTTTCGCCCAATTACTAAAAATTACTTTCCTATTCTTCCTATCCCTTCCCACCTGCCTTCCTGTTTCCTTCCAAATTCCTTTTTTTCCCTGTTTCCGTATCTTATTTTCCCTAATTTCTAATTTTCATCCAATTTCCCCGATTTGCCAACAATCACTTGCCTTCCTCCCACCCCTCTTAATTCTTCCCATTTCCCTTCCAATTCCCTTCCAATTTGCCTCCAATCCTCCTACAACGTCTTTCCTATTATTTCCCTCCTATTTATTTCCCAATTTCCTCCAATTTCCCCTTTACTCCCAGTTTCTTTCCCTATTATCCCCATTTTCCCTCAATCTATTACCAATTATTTTATCCAGTTGCCACCAATTTCCCCAATATTCCCCAATTCCTCCTACCATCCCCCCCCAATTTCCCTCCACCTAATCCCCAATTTCTCCCAATCCTCCCCCCAATTCCCCAATATTCCCCAATTTCCCTCCACCTGTTCCCCAATTTCCCTCCACCTATTCCCCAATTCCCCCCCATCTTAGCACCCACCTTGCTAAGCTTCCTCCTCAGCACGAACATATAGACGACCAACAGCAGCAGGACGACGCCCAGCACCCCGCCCACAGCCCCGGCCAGCGCTGCGGCATTGAACCCTCCCGTGGGCGTGGCGGGGGCGACGTCGTTGGCATCGTGGGGCGGCTCTGTGGCGGGTCCCACGGGCGGCAGGCGGGGGACCGAAGGGCGTGGGCGAGGGCGTGGGCGTGAGGTGGTGGTCGGCCCAGCGTTTCCCGGCCGGCCGAATTCTGTGGGCGTGGGAGGTAGCGTTAGTGATTGGGTAGATAATGAAGGGTTGTTAACGATAACAAAAATGCTGATAATTATAATAATAAGAAGAATACTATTGATGATGATGATGATGATGATGATGATGATGATGATGATGATGATGATGATATATAATAATAATGATGACGATACTAATACAATTGATAGTAATTATATTGATAACAACAACAACAATAGTGATAATAATAATAATGGTAATAATAGTAACAATAATAATAATATTGTTACTATCATTATCATTATCTTTATTATTATCGTTATTATCATTATCACCACTATTATTATCATATTATCATATCATCATTATTGCTATAAAAATAATGATAATAATAATAACATCATAAGTAACAACAGCAGTAGTAGCAGTAATGGTAATAATAACAATAAAAATAATAATAACAATAATAACGATAATAATAATAACAGTAATAACAATAACATCAATATTTTTTTCATTATTACTATTACCATTAATTTGATCATAATGATAATGATAATAATAATAATTATTATTATTATTATTATCATTACTATACTTATCATTATCATTATTATATTTATCATTATCATTACTATTATTATCATAATAATGATAATAATAATAATAATAGTAATAAAGATGATAATAATAATAAGAAAAAAAGAAGACGAAAGACGAACAGCAATAATAATAATGATAATAATATTATATCATTTTATTATCATTACAGCTATTTTTTTTCATTTTCATTGTCCTAATAATAATAATAATAATAACAACAACAATAACAACAACAACAACAACAACAACAACAACAACAACAGCAATAAGAATAAGAATAGTGTGTGAATATAAACAACAATGTTAACAAAAAACAATTTTCCATACGTTGATGACTATAAAACAAACAAAATTATAGCATAAGGATTATTACATTTTTTATCATAGTCATAATTACAATAATAATCATTATTATTACAATCTATCATTAATAAATTAATATCACTATCATTATCATTGTCATTATTAACATTAATCCTATTAATATTATCATCAATATTAGTAATAGTATAACTATTACCATCATTATTGTTATCATTATCATCAATATCTCAACTATGGTTATGATTATCTTTATTATAGTTATTATCATCATTATGATATTTATGAGCAATATTATCAGTATCGTTTTCATAATTATCATTATCATCATCCTCACTGCAGTGTTAATATCTATCATTATTATCATCATTACTACTCTTATCATAATCACCATCATCAATATTATCCTTATCATCATCAATATCATTATCATCATCATTATCATTATTCTCTTATTACTAATACTATTAATTACTATTAATAATATCAGCATTACCTTTAGTATGATCATAACCATCATCAGTATTACATTATCATCAATATCGTCATTGATTTATCATTTCAGTATTTATTTTTATCATTTTTTTTTTTTTTTTTTACAATCAGTATTTTTATCCATTTTACGAATTAATTATCGTCATCGTCATCATCATTATTATCATTTTCTTTAATATCCTTATCATTTTTATCATTATCCTTGTCATCTTTAACATTATCATTCACCATTATCGTTATTATCATCATCATTATCATTATCATTCACCATTATCGTTATTATCATCATCATCATCATTATCATCACCATCATCATCATCAGTATTATATAATCCATAACTATCATTACTACTATTACCAATATCATCATTATTAATATTACCATTATCATCACCATCATCATCATGAAAGTTAGCTCATGAATATAAAAAAAATGTTACTACTACTTTTGTTAATGATAACAGTAATACAAATACGATACTACAGCCGCTACTTACGGTGATGATTCAAATGATAATAATAGTAGTAGTAGTAGTAGTAGTAGTAGTAGTAGTAGTAGTAGTAGTAGTAGTAGAAGTAGTAGAAGTAGTAGTAGTAGTAGTAGTAGTAGTAGTAGTAGTAGTAGTAGTAGTAGTAGTAGTAGTAGTAATAATAATAATAAATATAATAATAATAATAATAGTAGTAGTAGTAGTAGTAGTAGTAGTAGTAGTAGTAGTAGTAGTAGTAGTAGTAACAAGAATGATAATGATAATCATAACAACAGCAATAAAAATAATAAAAAAAACATCAACAAAAAATCATATATCAGCAATAATGATATAGACATGCCATGAGCTTGATAAAAGAATGATCAAAATAGAAAAATACAATAAAAAAACGAACATCTATAACCTAACAACAAAACCAACATTATTCTGGAATAACAACAATGATCATAAGAAAAATTATAAAAATGACAACACTAGAATGACCAACAGCAATAACTCTGACCGCAATGATCATATTCATTAACGATGAATAACATAATGATAATAACTATCATGCTCTCATCAAATGACTCTTCTTCCATTATTCATATCATATCTAAATTCAATTATATTAATTACATTTATCATGTATCAAATTTATTGTTGTTTTTACCACTATCTTTATCGCCATTCTCTTTTATTCTTTGTTATCATTGTCTTTCTTTTGTCACTGATTCCTTTGTTTGGCAATAACAATGACTTTTATCCGTCCGTTATTATTGATATCATTATAATCATTACTCTTTGCCGTTATTACTGTGATGGTGATGATGATGGTGAAGTGATGATGATTAGTAGCATAATCTTTTACCCAATCATTATTCACCATTACTATTTCCACCATTATCCTTACCCTACCCTCGCCAAGATTATCACAAATGCCACTTATCATCTTCCTTATCACCGCAATCGTAACACAACAGTCTTACTTCCTGGTCCGTGTTACAAAAAAAAAAAAAAAAAAAAAAGTTTGGGTATGTAGAGTACACCCCAGACATATACCCACAATGAACATACCAGCTACATACGAAGGCAAAAAAATAAAAAAAAAAAGTTACCCCCCCCAAAAAAAAAAAAACGTATGTGCCCAGTCTGTATCCCTTCAAGGTCAGCAGACGAGTGGCCCTTCATAGGAGTGCCATTATACCCACATCCACCCCTGGCACCCTTTCCTGGGTATGCATCCTTTCCCTGTCTGGTCAAAGGAGAGGGAGTTGTGCTTCTCCCGGTTTTTTTCTTATGCGTTCGTGCGTTTGTTCTCTGTCTCTGTCTGTCTGTCTGTCCTTGGCTGTCTCTGTTTCTGTCCCTGTATCTGTATATGTATATGTATCTTGTCTATGTTTATGCCTTTGTCTCTGCCTCTGTTTCTGTTTATGCTTGTCTCTCTTTGACTGTCTCTGTCTGTATCTCTTTGTTTTCTGTCTGTGTATCTGTCTGTCGTCTGTTTCTGTTTCTATCTCTGCATCTCTCTCTGTATCTGCATCTGTATATGTATATGAATCTGTTTTATGTTAATGTCTTTGTCTCTGCCTCTGTCTCTGACTCTAACTCTGTCTCTGTCTCTGAATCTGTCTCTAGCTGTCTCTATCTTTGCCTCTGTCTTTGTCTCTGTCTCTGTCTGTCTCTGTCTCTGTCTCTGTCTCTGTCTCTGTCTCTGTCTCTGTCTCTGTCTCTGTCTCTCTGTCTCTGACTGTCTCTGTCTCTATCTTCTGCCTCTCTCCTCCCTCTCTCTCTTCTCTCTCGTCCTCTCCCTCTTCTCCTCTCTCTCTCCCTCTCCCTCTCCCTCTCCTCCCTCTCTCTCTCTCTCCCCTCCCTCCCTCTCTCCCTCTCCCTCCCTCCCTCTCCCTCTCTCTCCTCTCTCTCTCTCTCTTCTCTCTCTCTCCTCTCTCTCTCTCTCTCTCTCCCTCTCTCATCTCCCTCTCTCGCCCCTCTCTCTCCCTCCTCGCTCTCTCCTCTCTCTCTCTCTCTCTCTCTCTCTCCTCTCTCCCTCTCTCTCTCTCTCTCTCTCTCTCTCTCTCTCTCCTCTCTCCCTCTCCTCTCTCTCTCTCTCTCTCTCTCTCTCTCTCTCTCTCTCTCTCTCTCTCCTCTCTCTCTCCTCTTCTCTCTCTCCCTCTCTCTTCTCTCTCCTCTCTCTTCTCGCTCTCTCTCTCTCTCTCTCTCTCTCTCTCTCGTCCCTTCTCACCATTCGTAGGCCGAGCGTCCGTTCCGGAACCTTTCACAC